GCCTTTACAATGGTATATAATAATCTATTGTCCGACTTGGTTTTATGAGATTTTTTATCGGGTAAAATAATTCAAAATTTATATCTACAATTGCTCTTTAGCAAAAAAGCGGTTTTATCAAAAATTTTAGGAAAATGGAAGTGGCACCACCCACTTATATGATATATTTGTATCTCAAAAACTTATTGACCGATCTCGACCAAATTTGGTATACAAATTGTGCTTAGTCTCCTTAAGTTCTGCCTTGAACATTTTTGAAATCGGACGAAACTATACTATTTATATATATATATATATATATATATATATTTATATATTTATATATATCAATTTTGAGTAAATATTGATGAATTCCTTAGCCACACTGCGCAAAAAATCTGAAAGTCCGGTACATACATAATATAAATTCAAGACTGTATATAAGAAAAGTCGCCTAACTTCGACATTTATTTGAGTTCGCAATAAGTGAGCTACCAGTTTATTTAAAAATAGATTTAATTTGAGACAGTACTACATATTTTGAAATTATGGAAATTATCGATGGTCAAAATTTAAAAAATTAAGAGAAATATGCTTTTTTTTACCCGATAAAAGATCTCAACAAGCCAAGTCCAACAATAGATTATTATATACCATTTATCCGATTATATTCGATCTGTGAAATCGAATTAAAATTAGTCATTCAAAAACTCATAAATCTACAAAATCGTATTTTTTACCTAAATGGACAGGTCGCGACCTCTAAATGACCTTTAAAATATTTATAATAATAGGCAATAATATTTCTCATACAAACGAATAAAATTAGGCGTAGGGTCTGGAAATTTGTATACATACAATACATCAAGATATTTCTTGTTAACGGCGTCAGATCTGCACCGATTATTCGATTTTCAAAACTGAGGTTCAAAATTAAAGGTTTTGGCCTCTAAATGTACAACAAGGTTTGACTTTTTTGAAAAGGGTTGCCACGCGCTCTTTGTATTAAAAAAAAAATGAGGTGTCAGATGAAAGGACTTTTTTTTTTCTTTGATGACGCCCGTGAAGAGGGAAGTCTCATGAGTACTACTATACCGGAATAGTAGTATGCACGACTTGCAGCCTCACAGCTACACCTGCGTATTAAAACCTCTCCACTAACCACTCCCCCCGCGGCACTGCCATTTAAGGTATTACCTCACGGGGCTGATTGGCCAGCAGGCTCGCTACGTTATTTAACCGGTTCTAGCTTGTTCAGATCGCCTTAGATCTTCAAGAATTCCAGAGATATGTGCGCACATTTTATGCCAGTTCTCTGCTGATTTTAACATGTAGTCTACAATGTTGCTACCATGTAGTATATATCGGGTTTCAGGGGCATAGCGAGGGCAAAAGAATACTATGTGTTCCGCGTTTTCAGCAAGGCCTGTGCAAGTCGGACAGTGTGGGGAATCTCCACGCCCAAATATTTTTAGATATTTTTAGATGCATGGAATAAGCTTATGAGTCCACCTACCCTTTTCCGATTCATC